TATATATATATATATATATATATATATATATATATATATCTATCACATAATTATCATATACTACACAGGTTGTGTGGCAGGTTATTGCACAGGTAGTGATAGTGAGATTTAACTATGATGTGACAGGTAACATGGCAACATATAACATAGTATAACAGTCATGTTGGTATTTTCTAAGGTGATTTATCTGTGCTGACCATCTTGAATGTGGATGACTATAAAAATGAATTATTTAGGTGTCCAATATAGAATTTCTGAGTTTTTGTGAAATCTGTCCAGTGAGATACGTTGCTGAAACAGACACAGGCAGAATTAATGTATTTAGCCTTCAGTAGTGGGCGATAATGAACCTAAAGCAAACAGTGGGTGTTCAAATGTAAAAAAAAAGCTCCTGTGATTAATCATAATTTCTACTTGTTGCCACTTTTGACAGCCTTTTTCTTAGTATTGATTTTATTTAAAGAATTTCTACCTTTACAATTTACCGAAGTGAACATATTATTGTTCTCTGCAACACATTTTCTGTATTCCTGTTTTTTTTTTTTTCAGTAGATATTCATGAAAAAACAGAATATTTTGCATTTATATTTCTTACATTTGTATGTATTTTAATAAAGAAACTTTTCGATCCATAAATGTGTCACATAAAACATAATTTTCTTTTGTGAGACAGTTGTTAAAAACAATGATTCTATGCAACATCTGTCACATCTGCAGACATTTTTAAAGCAGTGAATTTATTGGCAACATTTCCCTGGTAACAAGGAATATTAGTTTAAATGTTTCTTCTTAATTTCACTTCACAAAAGCCCCCAAATCTCATTCAAACACTTAAAACCAATATTAAATTTGTAATAATTATTTTTTTTTTGGCTGGACAAAAGTTTTCTGACGTGTTTCCTCTGCTCACAACCACGAGGGCACACATTTACATTAAACACATAATAAAAAGAGAGGCCGTAGATTAGTATAGTGAAGGCCATGTAAAAGACCATCTGCACTGCACAGCAGCATGGGAGGGGAATGCCATGAGTAGCTTGTGGTGCTGCGGGCGTTGTGATGAAGACAACAAAGTAATTATGGCACAGCTAAGGATAGACATGGGGCTGGGAGAGCTGAGTGAGAGGGAGGCCGAGGAGAAACGGAAGACGAAGCATAAAAGAAGAGAATAAAGGGTCACTCAAAGTGCTGATGTCTCCCTTTATTTACCTCTGATTATGATATTCAGCATGCCTGAAAGAGAAAGGAACTTTTTCCTCACATTCCTTTTTTAATCTTTACTTTTATTGATCTAATCATTTCATTGCTCATTGTTTTACATAAATCTGGTGTTTGACAGTGACAAGTTTTGCTCAGTGCTTAATTGATGCTTTAATAGTCAGCCTGTCTATTATATTGGTTGTTAATATTCACACAAGAAATTGGAGGTATGTTGTTTTAAATGCACTTCTTTTATTTTCCACAAGGGGGAATAATTTCACGGAATGCCCTGAGAAGCTTTCAACACTGCTTTGTGTACTTTGGAAGTGTAGTCAGACAAAAAGAAATACTACTTTAAATGTTATGATATGGAAAGTTTATGAAAAATGTAAACCACTTGTGACTTTTTTCTTCACATGAAATATTTTTAAATTAACTCAAGCAGACTGCACTCGCAGCAAATAAATGAAATATAGCTCTTTATTGCTTCGTAGTCCGCTTTCATTGTGAACAAAACCAATATATTTCAACAAACTTTAATGTCTGTATAAAAGGCAGTTGTATTTGTAAGGCTAAAATAAAATAAGTTTAAAAAACTTCTATAAACATAAAAATTGTACCATATTACAAAAAAGTATTAAAAACAAACAAACAAAAAACCGACTAAATTTAACAAAAACATTTGCTTTCTGATTGCTAGATTTAAAAATAACAAGAAAGCAATAAAAACACACACACACACAGGGTTTACATTTATATAGCTAACTTACATAATATATGATTACCAGTTATATTATATTATATTATATTATATTATATTATATTATATAACAACATAGGTGAGTGGTGGCGCAGAGGCTAGAGAAGGTGGGCCTGTGATCAGGAGATTGCCGGTTCAACTCCCAGTACTGGAAACATCAAAAATGTGGATGGGATTGTTGAAGCACCCACACCTGCCTCCACCCTCACTTTCCCCACCCTGGGCCCTTGAGGATGGCCCTTAACCCCCCATCTGCTCCCCCGGGTACCTACTTGGCTCTTTGCTCCACACAGAGGGCTATGCTTGGTGGTCTGTGGCTGCGTCAGGAAGGGCATCTGGCGTAAAAACAATTGCCAAGTCTTTGTGCGACAATTCGCTGTGGTGACCCCTGAAGAAGGGAGCAGCTGAAAGAATTAGAAATATATATATATATATATATATATATATATACATTTATTGTATATCATAAAAATTCATAGAATGGTCAAATTTCATTTTTGTTTAATCTCACCTTTTTAGACATCAAATAAATAAATGAGTAAATTTGAAGCATTAGTAATAATTTCACATTTATTTATTGAAAGTTGAGCATAACTGGTTTTATTTTATTTATATGTAATTAATATATTTAAGTCTCTTGAAGCAGTTTTCATTACATTGCACTCTATCAAATCTCTTGGTAATAATGCAGGTGTAGAGGCATCATTACTGAACTCTATTTCCCAGAATGCTCTACTGTTGTTTGCACGTGTCAACACTGCCAGCAGACCGGACTGAGCGTCACATTCCTGCATTCCAGTTTCCCTCAGTGTGTGCAGACGGAGTTACCAGCGGATAGCTAATCCTGTCCTCTTCCCCCCGGTTCTGTGTGACAAACACACCCATGACACGGCGGATTTGACTCAGGGGGAGACCCCAGGTTCTCCAGAAGTTAGAATCTCTCTTCGGGTAAGGATTTGTTCTGATTTACGCCATTTGAAGCCGTATTTCAGCTGGAGTTTTCACCGTGGAGAGCAGGGAACAGTTTTATAAGAAGAGCTGCATTGACTGCGTTTTTTTTTTTTTTAATAGCTAGCTTTACTCTTTTCACCCTCCATGCTGCACCTGTTGACGTTTCACTGACGGGGTGCGGTTTGAAACCAGAATTTGTGACCTATTGTTTATTGTTGTTCTTAATGGCTAAAGCTAGCTGGCTGGTTAGCCGCAGAGCTTGCGTCACCATTGTTACCGGTGAGACTGGAGCAGAGACAGCAGGCAGGGCGTGGAGGTGTCTCCAGATGTGGGTTTTGTTATTGCAACGTGGACCTTTGTGTCTTGTGGGTTTTAGTAACCAAAGTCCTGTCAGGAGGATGCAGCACACGGCTGCAAACCATAGCACATGGGTGTGGCTAACATGTATTAAACATGTAAACATGGGATCAGTGTAGTCATGTGTTATTCCTCTTCTAGTAACAGTTTGTTACAGGTGACAGTGACAGACTGAATGGGACATAGTAGTTTTGGTGGATAAAAGGGCTGAGCTAGCTGCTAATCAGCTGTTGCCCCTGAAAACAAAGGGAGGATCACACCCACCAGTGTTACTGTAGGAAGACACAGAGGGGGCATTATCTAATCTAGTATGCATTGTACTTCTATCTATAGGGGTAATTTGTTATGATCTTTTATAAAATAAAGCATGTGGCACACAGCTGCTTAGGTATCCAGTTTGCTTATAGGACACAGAATGACTGCTAAACATGTGGTGTGCTCTCTTATCCCAGTAGTCAGCATTTTACATTTAAATACTCTCTAACTGCTTAGGAACGGTGTCCAAATCTAGTATTTTATAGAAATCCTCACTGCTGTTATTTAGTTTAAACTGGGTTTGGTGTGCTCTTGACATTCCTGACGTTTCTGCTGTTTAAGAACTGATTGCATCAGAGGGACTTTGTTGAATTAGAGGAATGCTTGCATGTAGTCACAAGACTAAGACCTCATCTAGTTTTATCCCCTGCAGACAAGTTTGGTTTAGATAGGAGAGGGGAAAAGTTTTACTAAATGAACTAAACTAAAAACAAAAATATATGTGTTTCCTTTTGTTCCAAACTTGTTTTTTGTCTGTCTGATGTGATGTTTTTGACAGATATCTTACAAATATACTGCCTCAGCTGAAGGCATGCGCTAATGCATTAGCCTGTCAATTGGTAAATCAGGTTCAGCCTGTACAGTAAATAAGAGGGTTTGTAAATTTAACAACTCACTGCCTCAACACCTTGGTCTCAGAGTTATTTGCAGAACAATAAAGGCAAGAATGGAACTAGTAACACAACATTACTCGATAAAAGCTTTAAAAAAATGTATCCCATTAATGTCATATGCATACAACATATAGCTGAAACAGATACTTGAGCGTTGCATGCTTTTTATCAGTTGGTAAAGATTCTCAGTCATCCAAGGAATGGTAAGCCTAGCATATTTGATTGAAGGCAATTAGACTTCTCTTTATAATGGTTTGGGTTTTCTCAGTTGACGGTATAGAAGTTCAGATGCCTTTGATTGAACTTGCTACGTTAAGCATCCATCCTCAGTAGAAATGCAGCGTATAAACTGAAAACATAGACTGCTTAGTAATAGCAAAAAGTATTGCTGATGTGTAAACTCAGCCTGGACCAGAATGTCATTCAAACCATTTACAAGGAGTTAGTGCATCGTCATCACCCCTCTGATCTGCAGTCCTGGCACACACGAGTGCTTTTGTTGCTGCTACCACCAGGTAGCACAGAGGGCTGTGACGCACACTTTGCGTGCAGTGGTTTTTGAGATCAGGCAGCACATTATGTGGGAGTAGCCTGCTGAAAACTGGAGCACCCCGAGTCACACGGCGTTGCAGAGATCTATAGCCTCATTTCAGGGGAAAATGCTCATTAGGTGTTGCATGGATGAGTGAGTGGGAAAAGAGAAATGAGGAGAAATGACATGGGTGATGGTTCAGGAGAACAAGCAGCAGCTTATAAAGGTAAGATAGGTGGCTAAAATCGGAGAGGACATTGACTTGATGCGGGAACACAGATCACATGCTGCTTTTGTCATAATTAAAGTCTTTTCTATGGCCAAGCTTTAGCATGCACTAACTTGTTTTATCATCTTGAGTGTTTAGGTCTGACCAATAAATGGCCATGGCACTATCAGGCCAACCTTAGTTGCCTCTCTTTTCACCTTTGTGTCCTTTCAGCTTTGAGGTTTACCTCCAAACATGTTGAGAAGCCAAAGAACAGTTCTGTGTATATTTCTGTGTGTGGATGTAGACAAAATGTCATTGTTGGGCCACAGTTACAACAGTTTGACTGTTGTGCACATGCCCTCACTACAGGGACTCAGGAAGACAATGGGGTTATTGTTTTAACCATGCACACAAGCTTATGCATCCCTCTGACCCCCCGTGTGGCATTTGTGGACTATTAGAAACTGGTTTGTTCTAGTCTGATCTGTTCGTTTACTCACTACAGCTTGAATGGGAAACGGGTTTAACAGCAAATTTCTGTCATGAGGAGTTGTCATGTTTTCTTGTTTTTTTAAGAAGAGGTGTTTTTCTCATCAGTAATAGGTTTTTTTTTTGGTAAATGCACCTACCTAGTGTTTGACACTTGTTGCTCTGCCAACAGTTCTGATTCAGTAACTTTTTGCAGCTGAGATTTTACAGACTTAAAGAGCAGATAGTTGAAAAAGTCTTCAGTTCTGATTTTCATGAGTGCTTTAGTAATATAGTGAAATCAACTTTTTTCGTTCATGTTTATGTAAATTTAAAAAGTTGTTGAAAAAAATGTTATGCAACAGAATAGGAGGTGCACTGCATTATTCAATAAATACTAATCTAACTTGCTTTTTGCTAATTTAAAAATATTTTAAGCTGGATCATAATTTGTGGCAAGTTCATTCAGTTTATTAGCAAGTATTCAGCATAACATCTAATACAGTGAATGCACAGTATTAGTCGAGTCTTTAAACTTAACATGTTTTAGCTGTGATGGCCTCAAGACTTTTCTGAATTATAAAAACTCTTAATGTGGTTTTATTAAGCCGTCCGGCCAGTAGTAGACCAGATTAGATGAATTATCATCTCTGCCTTCATGGGCTAAGAACATTGAGATAGACTCCCACTGGGGAGGCTGGATCTTATTTTAGTTCTGTTCGGATTGTAAGGATTAGTAATCGCATCAAAAACTGTAAATCATAGGTGGCTTAGGCTGCCGTTGTTGGATTATAAAATGGGTTGCCATGCATTTTCAGAATACAAAAATGACAAATGAGCAGCTTTAGGTACATCTGTTTACACTTGGTTTGAGAAACGTCTCCTAACTTGAGTCATGAGAGACCACTTGTGATATAATCTCAGTTATTCATGTGATATAATGCAATTACACTTGAAGTTTATGTCAAACAGTCTGCCAACAGAGGAGCAAACAGGCCACCAGACGATCTTATGATGATCACTAATAAACTGACTGATCAGTGTTCTGCTCATGCAAACCCACAAAATTAAACTTTTAACCCCTTACGTTCCATTAGTTGGGAAGATTTGAACTAAATTGCACATGTTTTTGTGGTTTTATTAATATTAAGCATTTTACAATACATCAACTACAGTTAAAGCTAAAAACAAACAAAACAATGAAACAATCTATAAAGCCTCCTAAAAATTCACAAGGATTATTTGGGATTTCATGTCCCTTTATCACAGTATGCATGTATATTAGCTGAGTCGACAAACATCACATTATGAGTGAATCTATGGCAGATTTATGGTATCACATTTTATACGTGGTATTGATTAGTGGTCGTATCTCTGGTCCTCAGGCAAAGACCATGCTGTTGCTGTCCAACTAGTTTAATATCTGTCTGGTTGGCGCTGAGCCTCAGGCAGTCTTCAGTGTGGTCGACTTAAATGCCTGCTGCGACACACAGTACAGATCTTACTCTGTAGGCCATTGCATCAGGCGATCACAGATATCACAGCACCTTCGCACACGTTATGAGTGAGCTATTCAAAGATGCTTTGGAAGTTGTGTTTTTAGTGGTAGCAGTCTGCAGCCTGAGCTTTAGACATCCGATTCACATATTTGGTGGCAGGCGGCTCTTTGTTGGAACAGCTGGTACAGTTAAAGGAGGGAGAGTGGAAGGGTGGAGCAGGGGAGGAGTTTGGACATTATGAAATAAGACTGGGAAATGTGAGGTTTGGAGAGAAAGACAGGGGAAATAGTTGTACTGTAACATGCTGCAATATTAAAAAAAAAAAACCTCTCAAAGCTATAAATAGAAAGAGGACAGCATGTTAACTTTTTTTTTAAACTGCTTCATCATGCAAAAAGGTTTTCCATATTTACCCTAGATTTAGATGGTGGGGGTTAAGGGCCTTGCACAAGGATTCAAGGTTGTCACTCCACCACATGTAGTACATGTGGTGGAATGAAATTGTGTACACAGGGTCCCAGTTACATCCAACAAAAGTATTAAAATGTAAAAGAAAAACAGTAATAAGATCTAAGATATGAACTAAAAAAACGGTAATAAAAATGCACTAAGCACTAGTAATACAAAAACAATACGCCAAACAGCAGCACAAACATGAGTCTGTGCGAGCATATGAGTACAAATGAACACAGCAACATGAAACAGATCAGCAGCAACATGAAACAGATCAGCAGCAACATGATGTGATTTTCACAGTGATTATTCTGGTTAGATGTTCATGAGTCTAACAGCCTCAGGGTAGAAGCTGTTCCTCAGTCTAGTGGTTCTACACTTAATGCTCCACAACCTCCTTCCTGAGGGGAGCGGGGCAAAAAGTGTGTGTGCTGGGTGAGTGAGGTCCTTCATGATGCAGGTGGCTCTCTTCCTGCATCTGGAGGTGTAGATGTCTGTGATGGTGAGGAGACTGACTCCAACAGACTTCTGTGCAGCCTTCACCACTC